GTATGATGAAGAAATCTCTTCGATCAAATAATGAATACTTGTTTAGTTTGTATCTTCAGGATTCTTAACTATTGAATCATAGACTCCATGATATTCTCTTTCTCTGCAATAATGTAACCAATCAGACGACAAAATTCTATTGGTTGTAGTTAAATTTTCTTAAAATTATGATATACAAATAGTTCAAAACATAGCTCTTCAAAATTTTTCTTCATTGTAGTTTATAATATAGACAACCTACTAATTAATTAATTACTGCCCATTGTTATTAATTAGTTAATCTTAAATACAGTAGTCATAAAAACGTCCCAGCACTAGATAAAAAAGACCTAAAATTTAACCCTTTAGTCTCATAATTTGACCACAAATAGAGCATATTGAACTCTGATCACAAGACCTTGATCAGTCTTCTTCCTGAGGAACTAGAAAGTCGATATACCGGGTGGCCCAAAAGTAAGGAAAAATAATGGGTATCCGATAATAACTGATGAAAAACTGTTAATGATATTTTTCATACTTTTTATTGATGTAAAGAGCTGAAATTTTTATTACATATATATCTAATTAACACCTTTTATTTCTGAAAATTTTAGCTCTCTACATCAATAAAAAGTATGAAAAATATCATTAACAGTTTTTCATCAGTTATTATTAGATACCCACTATTTTTCCTTACTTTTGGGCCACCCGGTAGATTTGTTCTTTAGACGAGGGTATATTAATATAGAAAACAAATCTCATGATATTAGTTTCCTTATTCAATAGCTCAATTGTATCTTTATCGTCAATAAAAATTCCATGTCAAGTGGTTTCAGTTTATCTAATTCATGTAGTATTCTTTGGATAATGTTCACATAAGAGTTGATAAAAATCGTCGAAAAGTGGCTAATATCTTCGGCTGATTATAACCATTAATCTTGAAATTTTCTACAGCGAGTGTTCTATTCTAATCAAGTCTTCCTTGGAAATTTCGAGATCGTAATCGTGAATGAGGAAGCGATCGAACTCTATTTGTGATCAAAATATCAAGCAAAAGGATTGAAGTTGATGTACTTTTTACCCTGTAGCGAGACTCTTTGGGACTACTGTACTTATTGATGATGAATGAGTAATTAATTAATGATTCAGACTATAGAAATACATATTGAACAGCTTAAAACAACTGGTCGATCAGGGTAATCAGTTCTTTTGATCTAAGACCTGTCACACGCCTAATTATAAACACTATAATATTCTTAATAAGACAATCAGAACTATAATTGATTAGCTTGAATTATTAATATCTACTTTTCTTGATGATTTGTTCCTGTAGTAAGAAGTGAATTGATATCGCTTTCGTAAAAACCCAAAACACGTCGGGTTGCAAATTGCTAGAATAAAATTAATAAACACATTAAATATCTAAAAACTAAAAAACAATTTCTTTTTTGAATACTTTAAAATTCCAAAAATATTTTGAATGTTCTTCGATACTCATTAAATAATTCCAATGCCATACAAATACAGATAATGGTAGATAAAAAGATACTGGATCTTCAATTATTTCTCGTACAAGATTTATTGTTTCATCATAACTAACAATTTCACCGCCGTGTGGAAGAATAAACGCATCATTAAGTATATTAGCTTTATCATTGTTAGAAAGTACATTCTATTTTTATAATAAAACAGAGAAAATTTATAATTCAAATAAATATAACTTACTCGATCAAATAAGTATACAAAATGTTGCCATAATTCATAAATATCTGCATTATGTGCCTTATATTCTGTAACTTGATATGAATAAAAATCTTTATTACATTTTATCCATGCATATTCTTCATTTGATAATTCAATTGTATGAGTTAATGATTCGAACATAAATTTTATTCTTGATGAAGCAAGATTAGCAGTTAAATTCCAAGAATTTCCATCACGTGCACCACCTAAATCACATTCCATATAAATTTTCCAAACATAATTTGGATTCGATGAATTACTATTTAATGCAAATGAACCATAATAACGTGCTTGACGAAAATTAATTATTGTACTTTTTATTGTATCATTGCTTGTTATGAGATCAACAGTTACTAATGGATAGTTTTTTTCTTCAAGCCATGAACGAAGAAATTCTTCTGGCGTAACTGTTGTATTTAATATTTGAGAAAAATCAAGATTTGAATAAAATGTTTTAATTATCATTGATACATCATTTATTGATAGAATATCTATAACAGCGGCTTGAAATGCTTCATTACCAATAATATATTCAAGTAGACGAAGAAATGAAGCACCTTTACTATAAATATTTACTGATAAATAATCAAGAATTTGTGCATTATTTGTTAAATCTTTATTTGATACAGGCCATATACTAGGTTTAAAATCATCCATCATTAATGGAACCATTTCTTGTATAGGAAATTGTTCCATCTAAATATTATATTTAAAAGAAAAAAAAACAAATAGAAATAAAATAATCACTTACCAATTTAAATGATGGATAATTTTCTTCAATCATTTTATAAGCAAGATATGATGAGAGTGATTTACCAAACCATATATTATCCCACCAATCCGTCGTTTGAAACCACTAAATATAATAAATAAAATTTTATGAAAAAAATTAATTTTTCTTTTCTTTTTTCTTTTTACAATTTGTATAATATGTTCAACAATTGCTTTTGTTGTTGTTTGTAATCGTTCGGCAGAATTTAAACTTTTATCAGTACTAAGAAGTTCTTCACGAAATGTTAGAAGACCCCATGATGCTGAAGCTTTTTCATCAAGAATTAAATCAGGTACACCAATTAAATCTATATATATATATATATATATAAATATTAATAATAAATTTATCTAATTAAATAAGTTGAATTACCAAGTTTAGTTGGTATATTTTCATCTGATAGATTTAGATAAGTTTTCAAATATTCAAGAGTCTTTCCAATAGTTTCAAATGTCCAATTTAAATGTTCATTTGCTTCACCAATTAATTCTGGTCGAACCCAAATATTAACCTAAAATTTATTATTTTTTTAAATTGTATGAATTCATCAATTAAATTATTTACTTGAGTAGTTGAAAAATTTCGTGTTGCTGATTTAAATTCATCTAAAGGTAGAACAGCCCAAGACAATGAATAAGTACTAATAATTGATGTTTCTTCAAAAGTTGTCATTGATCCATTTCGAAACTATTAAAGAAAAAAATATTGTTGGATATTATTATTTTCTTTTTTTTTCTGTGATTGATCATAATCCTACCACATCAGCACTATTTGATAATGCAATAGTTGAACTTTGTGGATGTTCAATTGTTAAAGTAAATTTTGCTCGCATACTTGGTTCATCAAAACATGGAAATGCTTTAAAGAACAAGAAAATTTTCTTTTTTTATTTGTTTTTTTTTTGCTATGATCTATAAAACTGATTTCTTTTTTTTCTTTTACCTTTTCGTGCGTGAGTTGGTTGAAAATTACCAGCTAATAAACTATTTTACAAAAAATGTTAAAATAAATATAATTTCTAAATTATAAAATTTATTTACTAGCTTAATTCGCCAATTGATTTCCAAAACCATTCACGATAAAATCCTGTATTATCTTGTTCATTAATTTCTCCAGTATAATCAATTTCAAGAGTAATTGTACCAACACTAATAGATGTAGGACCAAAATATAGATGAATCATTTCATATTCTGGTAAATATGTTATTGTTGCTGTGCTTCCACTACCACCAATTAATTTTGCTGTTGTTATATTCAGATTTTTAGCATGAAGTACAAGATATTGAGTATCATTTAAAATATTAATTTGAATAGATACTTTTCCGTAGAATGTAGTTACAGGTATACTCTCCATCCATGAATAGCAATTAGGGCAAACAAAATGTAATGTATAATCAATAGGTTTTGCAAAAATTGGTAAACGCCAAGAGTTATATGGTCGAGTAGTATTAGCCCACGGATCTATTGTAGTCGTTGGTGATTGTGTAGGAAAATTAGTAATACCTGGTCGTGTTACTGATACAGTACTAGGTGTACTTCGTGTTGTTCTGATTGAAGATACGGTTGTACCAGGAGTCAATGTTGTTGTAGCACTACACATAGGTGGAACATTACTACATTGATCACGATTGCTAACATCTCGAACATATCTTCGATGATAATCCGATGAAACATCAGAATTATAAGATCGAGGTTCGACAGGATTTTCTATCTTTATGAAATCACATTTATTCAATCGATATTGAAAAATAAATGGTACTATAGCGAATAAACATGCTATAGCTGCAATAATAAGTGCAAATAATTGCCATATTGAAAATTCGATTTCTCTGTTCGTATGTTTCATTGCTGTCTTCATTCGTCAAATAAAACGGGTAAATGTGAATAGATGCAGCTTTTATTAAAAAAAAATGCTTCGTGCAATTGTAGGTATATGATAAAACTGGTGATATCATAAAACTTGAAAATATTTGATGAAAAAAAAGAAAGTTCTCTAGTCATTACTTTCCAGCTGGGAATGATTATAAAATACGAAGTACAGCCATTGATTGATAAGGAAACTTATATAGCTCAAGAATACTCTGTAAATAGGTTTTATTCTTGATATAGATTTTACTAGTCTGTAAAGAACTGTAATTTCTTTTTATGAGTTGCTTTAAGTAAATATTGTTAAAGACAATTTTGCTCATATTGACTACTTTTTCAAAAAATGTGAAAGACATACGAAGATATACAATAGCAGAAAAAATTTTGTTTATTGAATATGTTATAAAAATAAAGAATCTCATAAAACCGTATTTATTAATATATGAACATATTCATAATAGGATTCACTCTTAGAATTACTGCCATCTTTTGAATAACTATTTATTCGGATTGGTTCGACAATATTTACCAATACATAACGAAAGAAAAAACGACGATAGGTAGAAAAAGTTATAGCTGAGTTGTGTTCAATATTTTTTGCAAAAACAAAGATATTTTTTCTTCCCAATTTATTATATCAATGGATGACATTACAACTGTGCAGGAAAATTCATCTGTTCCTTTATCTAATAATAAAAGACATGATACCAATGCAAATATATCAGATGTAAGTAATATTCTTTTTATTATATAAATATATTATTCAATCATTTAGCAGAATTCTCAGCTCAAAGCTGAATCCACATTTATATCTAATGAAAATTTTGATTCATCAAAAAATCGAGTTGAAATTCAAACAAATTATTATACACATAACAAATCGGTAGAATATAATTCTATATATGCATATATATATTAATTAATTTCTTTTTCTATTATTGTTTGTTATTTAGCTTGATGAGATAAATAACTCAATGTCTAGATTATCTATGCATGATATAAGATCAATGAATCGTTCGAATCCAAATCGTTTTCGTCCACATCCAAGTTATTCATATCATCATTCAATACATTCACCTTCGTACTTTCCTCCACAACGTATGAATCAACCTGAAACTCAAGCACAATTAGTTGCTTTTACTCCACCATTGATGTCAATTCGGTTACCCTATTCAGAATTTCAAACATATGAACAAAATTATTGTCCATCAAGATCATACATGCAAACTCAATCTAATGAGCAATCATCTTTACCAATAAATTATAAATCTGAAACAGTAACATCACAACCAGAATATTATGTGGATAGTTTTGCATCAAATTTTTCTGATAAATCATCTTCAAATAGCAATAATAAAACAAAAACCAAACATGTTACTTTTCAAGAACCAAATATGGCAAAGTTAGGGCTATCTCTTTTGTTTTTATTTTAAATAAAAATCTCTTATAAATTTTTGTTTTAGTGAATTAGTAAATACAAATTCAAATCATATGACTTATCCATTATCATCACCTAATTGGACATCACCAACTCACATGTATCCACCTTTACGTCCATCTAATCGACACTATAATCCTTACAACTACCAGCATTACAATCAATTTCATTCGCAATATCCTAATATGATAATACATCCACGACTGATGAATCGTCCTCGTGGAATACATATGATGTCGGCGCCTCACGTATGGACGTAAGTTTCTTAAAATTCCATTATTTCTTCACTAATAGGTTTAGTTGGTGTAGGATGTCGAAAATTTCACAAATTATAGTGAAAAAAAATGTATTTCGTTAAATTTTGTATGACTTAATACAGCTCGCGAAATTAATTCCAAGTAACACTTTTTTAATCTCATGTGATCTTGTTTTGATCGAGAAGTCTCAAAATTTCGCCTACTTATTATTTCCATTTATTGTTCAGATTATTTCATACTGATTTACCATCAAAAACGAAATATTATTCTATATACCTGAATGTATTTGATTATTGTTCCCTCGGTAGGCAAGCCCGACAGAAACTGTCCTGACTCAAACTTATCCCTGCATCTTATAAACCTACCTCCATTTTTTTTTCGAAGAGACTTTCTCAAATGTCACAGATCATTCGAATCATTAAAATACGGAAAACAAATTCATGAAATATTTTGTTGAAAAATCTGTAACGCTTAATGAGAAAATCGATTATTTTACAAATGAAATTATTGAAAAAAAATGAATGAGAAGGAGTATAGGCACGGTTTTGCCAAAAAATATTTTCCAGAAAACATGTGTCATTTAACGCACCTTTTCACGCTGATTCCGAATATCGTATGCATTTTGTCATTGAAATAAAATTATGATGGTCAAAATTGCAAAATACAAGCCCATTTTTGTATGAATTCGATATAGAAAACGAAAGAATCAATTTTCTCATTAAACGCTTCAGGTTTGTCGAAAATCCTACATAACTTTATTCTCTGTCTCTTGGTGATTCGAATGATATATGATATGAAAGAAAAGCTCTTTGAACAAACAAGGAAATAGGTTTACAAGATTCAGGCGTGAATTTTAGTCAGAGCAGTTTCTGTAGAAATTGTTGAGCAAGGGAACAATAATCAAACATATTCAGATATGTAGAGTAATACTCCGTTTTTGATGCTAAATTAGAATAAGATAGTCTATAAACAATAAATGGTAAGAGTAAGGAGTAGAAACTCCAAAATTTCTCAACAAAAACAAGGTCATACAAGATTTAAAAAGTATTACTCAAAATCAGCTTCACAAGTTCTTTTAAATTTTTAGCATCTTATTTAATAGAAAGAAAAAGATGATTTATTCATTTATTGTTTCACTAATTGTTGAAGAAGTTTTTATAGTTGTCGAAGAAGTATCGATTTGTTGTTGATATAAAATTTTCATCAAATCATTATTATTCATTTTTCTCTTTACTTTCATACAATCAATTATGATTTGTGCAATAGAAATAAAAATTTCTATACTAAGTAACAGAAGAAATATTATAATACATATTGCTTCTTCGTATATATCATAACGTAATGGTATAAGAGATTCATATAGTATATTCTTTAATATAATACCATTCTGTGCATAATAATCATGAAATGCATACATTTTGTTTTGATTTTCTTTATATATAAATACTATAACAAAAACGCGTGAAAATTATATATTATAAAATTTAATGAAAATTATAATAATTTTATTTTAGGCCACAATCATATTATTTTGATCCACAAACGCCATATATTCATCATCGTTTTCAACCAAAACAACTCTATGATCCAAATAAACCAAAAGTATCATCAACATCTGAATGTCATAATTCATCAAAAGTAATTCGTAAAATTGAACCAAAAAATAAGAAAAAAACAAAACAAACAACTAACAATGATAATTCAACTGTATCAATATCTGAAACTATTCCACATCCAATTACAATTCTTCGTAAACCAAGTACAGACACTGAAATAATTACATTGCCAACTTCTATTGTTTCACAATTATCTGAAGATCAATCTATTTTGTCATTCGAAGAAGAACAACAACGACAACAAGAAGAAAAAATTACTTCATCAAACAAAGATAATTCAGACATTCCATCTGAAAATGAACAACCACCAATTTGTTCAACAATTGAAAATTGTCCAGATATTTCATTCAAAGAAGAACAAACAAATACTTCATCAATAGATAATCAATCTTTATTATTACCAAGTCATGAACTTTTATCTATTTTACAAAGTGCAAATTGTTTATCTTCTTTAAATGAATATGCTCAACAAAAAAAATTTACATTAAATTATGAATATTCTTCTATTTCTCCATCATCATTTACGTGTATAATTTCAATTAATGGTCGTTCATTTCCTAGTTCATCAATTTGTTCATCAAAAAATGAAGCACAAAAATTAGCATGTGATCAAACTTTACGTATACTTTATCGTGAATCATGTAGTAAAGAACAATTTCCATTGGAATTTTCAGATAAACATGATTATATTGCACATCAATCTATATCAAAATTTCAAAATTTAAATATAAATGAATTATTACTTGGTCGTAAAACTTTAGCATGTATGTTAATGATAACTGATGGACAATATGAACAAGCACGTGTAATTAGTATGGCTACTGGAAATTCTTGTCTAAATGAAACAAATCTTATTTATGCTAATGATGGAATAGCTTTACATGATTGTCATGCTGAAATACTTGCACGTCGTGGTCTTATTAGATTTTTATTTGAACAAATTAAACAATCAAAAGATAATCAATCATCAATTTTTGAATATAATTCAACAATCAATAAATATCAACTTCATGATAATACAACATTTCATATGTATATATCATCATTACCATGTGGTAATGCTTCATTTAATATTTTATCAAATTCTATACGTTATAAACAAGGTCAAACAGAAGGTACTATACTTGATTCAACAAATTCAATACAATATTCAATAAAATCATGTAGTGATAAAATATATCGATGGAATATCTTAGGTATTCAAGGTGGTCTTTTAATAAATTTACTTACTAAACCAATTTATCTTGAATCAATAACATTAGCATGTGAAGCAACATTTGATCGTAATCATGTCAAATATTCATTATATGAACGTTTAAATGAACATATTCATTCATTACCATCTCCATTTATTTGTCATTTACCTGATATTGATTGTCCGAAAACAAAATCATTTCAACATGAAAGAAAAGTAGCTAAACTTCAAACAAGTGCATTTGCATGGAATACTACAAAATCAGATAGAATGGAATTATTAGAACCTATGACTGGAAAACTGAAGTAAGATTCATAAAGATTTATATATGTTTTAAGCAATAAATATGAACACAATCGAAATTAAAAATAGCTCATTCCGTTCATGTCTAGTTTTTAAAAACATTTAACTAATTGGATATGATTGCGTTGAATACATGACATACTATACAACGAAATTGAAATTTTTTCTTTCGGCACTCAAAACTGTACGCAGTGAAAATTTATAAATTTAACAATTGGGAAACTTTTAGAAAAAAAAATACATGAATAGTATCGTTGAATACCATAGGATACACCTGCATAATTAAATGTATTAATCGATATAAAACTACATTGCTTTGTTTTTTTTCTTGATAATAGATTGGATTCCAACTTGGTTGAATTTTGAATTCTATTATTAATTTTGTTTTTTTTTGTTTTATAGAAATGATCGATCAATGTCTTTATTAAGTAAACGAAATCTTTTTAAAGATTTTACAAATTTTATTCAAACAAATTTTCCTGATGATAATTCTTTATCATATACAACTTATCAGCAAGCTAAACAACTTAATAAAACATATGTTACAGTAAAAGATCTTATTTCAACAGCTTTTCAATCTGGCTCATCTGATACAAATATATCATGGTTAAGTAAAAGTGATAAACTCGAACAATTTTCAATGGAATGATTCCGAAAACGAAAATATTTCGTGTTTTGTTTTTTTTTCATTTATTTTACAGTAATTCATGGCTCTATGCGTACTCGATTTTGTTTTTCTTTTCTTTTTTTTTTTTAAACGAATATTGTTTTTCCATCATAGTTTCTCTCTTTTGTAGATGTTTCGAACATTGATTCGACCATTACAATCTGCTCGTATTATTCAGATTCCTATTCGAGTAAACAAGAATTATTTTATAGACTTAAGTACCTCTATTGTTTTTGTTTAATTAGACAACTGTTGTTGTTGAACGTGTACATCCATTGACGAAATTGCGTCCAGGGGAAAATATTTATGATTATAGTAAATACAAATATACCGATTTTCAATATCGCATTATTCGTGATACAGATACAGAAAAATGGGGAAATATTGATGTTATACTAACGGAATATGTTGAAGGTAAAAAAAAAGCAAAACGATGATTTTAAATATTTAATAAGAATTATTATTTTATGAATAGGTGTAGGTTATAAAGGTGAAATCGTTAATATTCCACGTGAAATGGCTTACAGAGAATTATTACCAGCACAATTAGCACTCTATCCAACACCAGAAAATATTGCATTATTTGAAGAAGAAAGAAAATTACTTGTAGATCGACCACAAATATCACCATTTGTTATGAAATGTCGTGATTATTTGAAATCAATTGTGTTACAAATACCAATTAATCTTAAATCAAAAGAATGGTCATTAACAAAAGATAATATTCGTATTGCACTTCGACGTATTGTATGTTGTTGTTGTTTTTTTTTAATTTAAAATTTATTGATTCTTTTCAAAAATATTTTAGAATGTTATGTGTGATGAAGATGCTATTATTTTAGAAGACGGTTCTATTAATCAAGATACATATAAATTAGGAGAAGAATTTAATGTTATTCTTAAAGTAAATTTAATTTAAGTTTCTTTTAAGATAATATGATTTTAATTTCTGTTCTTTAGATTAATCCACTTGTTGAAGTATCTATAAAATGTGTCATTGTTCCTGTTGATAAAGCTAAATTATGGGATGAATATCAATTATCAAAACGACGACCTAAAACATAGTGTTTTGTTTTTTGATATTTCATGTTAATTATGTTTTGTTTAGTAGACAACAGATTTTTTTTTTAAATAAATAAAGAATAAGAAGTCATATTAACATTTAGACTTATTTTGAATCACAGAAAAAAAATAATACATTTATTTCAATACCATATTGAATGAATATGTGAGGAAGTACCACATAATTTGCTAAACGCAATAGTTTCTTCGTTTCACTCTTAGAAAATTCTGCCTACAAGTTCGTTGTCTTGACAATCATCATCTCATATTCTAATAATTAACATACCTCTAAACATCAAATTGTATAATGACGGATGTTGTCTGTATGAATTTTTATATAGCAAAAAAAGATCTGGATTAACCTTTGTTATATCTGTTACCAGTTCTTTTGAAAATAAAATAGTTTAAGAACTATAACAAAGTGTAACTCCTTTCTTTATTTCTATTCTCAACAACATACGTACACGATCATTCTTACACTTTGTCTTACAGTTGAAATCTTATTTCATTGGGTGTGAGTGTAGGTATAAATGAAGAGAAGATCTACACCTCCATACTTATGCTGAAAACATATGCAGATACTTTAATCATAATATATGAAAAGTTTTAGTCACAAAAAATGCTTCATTGCTGAGATATGAGCTAGTAAAGAAAAGCATATGTTTCACAACGGAAGTGGAAAATCCATCTTGGTTACACACATCATAACTCAAGAAGGATAATTTCGTTTTGACTGAAATATTTGATGTCTAATAAGTGCAATGAGATCTCTTTAGGAACAACATTTGAGGTCAAACTTTGTGCCTTAGATTTTTCTCGATAAATGATGGCACTGGTTAGAAATCGCAGTGAAATAATCATCATTTCAAAAAAATGACCTATAATCTCGAATTCTCGTGGCATTCTTCCGATTATAATATCCATTAATGAACGTAGTAAGTTTAATCGCGAAACCATTTTATCCATTACTAGAATTTTCTTGCAACTGTCCTTTTGCTGTGCTGTGCAGATATAAAGTCGGTTGCCTGCCATGAACAAGAAATTACGCTTACTACTCTGTCCTTTTAATTAGGTGAAGAAAAGTAATGTTTGTGCCAAATATCAATTACATCACTTGAACGTGCTTACAGCACAAATGAGCAAAAAAAAAAGAATGCATTATGCTCATCAGATGGTGAAAAGGTGGATCAATAACAAGGAAAATAGGAAATTTTTATTTGCATATAAGAATTTTTGCCGTAATGTCAGCCTTTTTTAATCAGTTCAATAACATCTTGTGCTCGTATTTCGCTGTTACGAAACTTTAAGTTTTTCCAATGATCTGTATTTATTTGAATTCTAATAGGATCTGGAGAACTACATACAATCGATGCTGTTTCAGACGTTTTAGAGTCCATGTCGTACGTTTATTCGCACTAGTGCCCGCGCACCAATGATTTACCGACTATAGCACTTACGACTTTCGGTTCCAGCTATAAACGATTTCAGAGAGTGTTTTCTATTCAAATTCGAATTATTTATTAGAAAGAATTCAAATTACCTTAGAAGAAAACAGTTTCAGAATATATTTTACTAATAAAAAGGTTGGCAGCGATATCTTTAATAAAAATTTATTTCATAACTAGAGTCGATTTAGGTTCTTTGGTAAATATAGGAGGCTCATATGCATCAACATTACCACAGTGTGTCGAAGACGATTTAATTCTGTCAGTTTTAGCGAACTTCAAAAGCATTCATCCGCTTTGATACAATATATCATGATACAATACTTTCAAAAACGACCGATGATAAATCGCCCGTATGGTGCACATTATATCGATCCATTTAGTGGCAGTAGTTTCTCAGTAGTTATCACATGAGAGATTAGTCTACACCATAGATCGATCGAAAATCAGATTTGAACTCTAAAAACCGGATATAGACCGAACTCGCAATTCAATTCAGCATTACATTTCTCAAAGCTCCGGTCCCGATATTCTTGACAGTACGGCCAACTCAGTATTCCTAATCACATAGAACAAGTCAATTTTGAAAATTTTTTTTTCGAATTTCCGTCGAGGACTACAAGAATAAAAAAATCGGGAAGTGGTTTCCAAGAGGTGGATGGCACCAGATTTGTAGCCCATATTGATTCTGTCACCCTTATCCAATTATTTCTTTAAAATATTTTGGGCCGAAAAGTAGACTTACAGTGCCACCAGTCCTCTAACACAAATCTTACACAATGCAAATATTTGTAAATCACAATCAAATCGTTTAATATTGCTCATTAAATCAACTCAACCTAAACCAAATAACATGTGATCATCATTAAAAGAATTATTGACAACAATGAACATTGAAGATCTCGTTACAAAAAGAAAAGTATGTGTATTCATGTAAATACGAATTATTGAATAATGAAAATATATGCAAACAACGTCAATCAACAAATCAAACAACAATTGCTACTACATATAACATTAATCCTGCTTAAGTTTTACCAATATCATTTAGACGTTTATCAATATAGATTGAAGAATACAAACAAAATATAATAAATAATGGTGATGCTGCACATACCAATAATGTTCCATGTGATTTACTGTACAAGCAGTTAATGAATGAAAAGTCACTTATACGTATATATCAGTCTTTTTCTTCCTCTCCTTCCGCATTTCTCTTCTAGCTCTTCACATTATTTCTGAATTTCACTTAGTACTGGAGAAAATCTTATTTGCACGATATTACATTTGGATGGAATCAATCTTATAAAATCAACAGAGTTAAAATTATAGCTATTAAGCTACTCAATTGTGGAACTTCCACCAAATATTCGTTATCGTCGCTATAACATGATACTTCTATCGATATAAGTTAGATATACACTGAACCTTTAGTTAACTGGCGGTTAAATAAAATCGGTCACAAGTGGAATTGTTCAAAAACACAAAGTAAGAATCATCGATAAGTAAAAACGAACTGCCCCATTCTTCATTTCTCAATTAGTTACTCCAGAATTTTTTGAAAAGTACATAATGACTAGAAAAACCTAGCACATCTGGTTAGAGACATGAGATAACTTTACTTGTTTTTGTTTAATTCTCACTGGTTAGCATGGAATTTTTTACAATTCCACCTGCACTTAACGTATAGATGTCATATATTTTTTTAGATATGCCAGTAAGAAGTAATTTAAATTATAAATTGAAGTTTGTCGATAAAACTGATGATTGTCCGACAACTAAACTAGTACTGAATTTTGTAGCCTATGATGGCTATTGGTGCTACTAATTGTGTTATTTACATGGTGTTTATGTTGGTGATAAACGTCAGTATCGCCGTAAATTACCAATCAAATATCATTTTTTAAAAGAAAATTTACAAACATCATATCAAACTGAAGAAGAAAATTGTAATGTTTTTGGTCATTGTGGCCTAAATATTTTACATCAAATACTGGATGTACCATTCCGCAAGGTCTTATCATCGATTATCTACACGCTACCCTACTAGGTCATGCAAAAAAAAACAATTATTTTGACTATTTATAATAAATTCAAATCTCTCAAACAAAAATTATAGATGTCAAGTTAGATGAACAATTCTTTCGCAATTTCTTTCATCTAAAAATGAAGGTCATTCATGATTTGGCATATGTAAAGGCACAGAAGTAAGAAACTGGCTATTTAATGGCTTTTTATCTACTTTACAAGATTGTTTACCAATTCAACAACTGTCATATTTAACATTATACTTTCGTGCAATCCGTATATTGCATTGTGAATTATTATACGGTAATGATTGATTTATATCATCTAATGAATTATTTTTGCGCTACTGCAAAGATCATAATGATTATTATGTTGGACAACAAAATTTTGTATTGCACTTACATCTACATTATTCAAGCATTTATAGAAATCATGGTAGTTTATGTA